CCTTGCGTAATTCATACATTTTATGTTCTATGGCCAGTAGGATTTATTATTTGCACACTGCATTGCCATACATATTCTAATGCATGCGTGAATTTTATACTTGTGGTTATATCAGAAGTGAGCTTAGGGATGAAGGAGCCCTCCAAGGATCCCTAGCTTACTGAGATAATTATATTGTCTCACCTCGCGTTATGAGGATTACCATTTTAGGTGTAGTAGTTGATGGTACTGAGGTATCGCGCGACAAGAGACCGGAGGAAGATACTATATGACTTGATAGTCATGATTTGATTGACATGTCATTTTGTACATGACATGATGTTATTCCTTTGAGTTGCATATGCCATGTTATTCTTCTGAGACCATGGGGATGTCTATGCTATTGCATATACTTATGTATTTTGGTTAGGCTGGCATGTATAGGTTTATTTATCATTATTATTTGATAGCCATGGTGCAATGTTGTGATGATATGTAAACCTATTCACGTTTATTCTGGTTATGCCAGCTATAAGATGGAAGGGTTTAATTGCCTATTCGATATATTGAGTTATGCTAGTATATGGTTAAAATGTTAATCAGGTGAAAAATTATATGTTGGAAAGTAATCCGAATAGTCCAAAATACAAACGGAATGTCGTCCACGATATCCTAAAAAGGAAATGTAAAGTTCATAGGGAAAAGGAAAAAGTTAACCAGTTAGCTTCCGCATTTAATTTATAAAGTATGCTGCATTTATTATCATTTAAATGTTAATTAACCGGCTGTGGACGAGGCATTGCAAAAAGCGTAAACAAAAAATGGATCAGTTGAGCACATGTGCAGCACATGGTAACCAACAAATGAGTCTGTGTCATATACACGCTTCAAGTTCAAATGACTCTTATGTGGGAGGCTGTGTTAAAGAGATACAAAAGATACAAAATAATTAATATATTATCACCTAATGCCTTAAAATTATCTCCTGCAACATAAGAAATATCAAACTTATAAATCGTAAGATCAAACGATCCAATTTTTTTTAATGGGAATATGTTTTGTGAAAAAAGATTGAACCAAATATTTTAGTTAGTGTGAGAGAAAACCAATTAATTTGAGTTCTATGTTGATTGGATAGACCTGCCACCACATCTCCATCATTTACTTTTCCCCATATCATTGGCGTAATTTTTATTTCATAGTTCATGTTTTGGTTATACTAGAAAACTAATTATATATTATACCAAAAAAGAACTAATTATTTGACATATGATCAAACTATTAATTAGGTCATTGTACCAAAAAAAAATTATTATCCACTTAATAATATATTTTTAGGTGTATACAATTCAAGGAGGAAGACTCACTTTACTATTTTTCTTTTTCATTTTGGAATTTATTATAGGAAAGACTCTTCCAAAATTATTTTTTTGATTCCTTTCAAAACATGTGAAAGGTAATAAACTCCTTACCATTTAAACCAATGGATACAGGTGATCAAATTCCAATATCTTACTATTTAACTAGTTGCATAACTTGTCTTTGTCTAGTATCTTCCGTGTGCTCTCTCATTTAACGTTGAGACAATTCTCATCAACATAGTTCCCTTTAGCTAGATCAAACCTGATCGAGCTATCTTCTCTCACTTAAGCTTCTATCCTTGTCCGTAAGCTCTAGCATTATGGTATATGAAAATTTATTTAATTTTCTTTAGAATGATTGTTTTGAAAAACTAAATTGGTCGTTCAACTGGTAAAGATACAGTTCACCATTTCTGATTTGATCGTAGTTAAGTTGATCATAATTAAATATATACTTTTAACATTATATAGTATATATATTAAGTAATAAAAGAATATAAAATCATAAGCAATCAATTTCAGTAAAATTTTAAATTAACATAAAGAACCATATTGTATTTCTTGTAAACTAAAAAAATCAATAATAAAAAGATTATGTCTAAAAAAATGTTTTTGATTGAATAAAAAATATAAATTCATAAACTAAGTTCAAATTGTTTTTCCCCACCAATTTTCATTGAATTTTACTGGTTTTGGACTGATTCTCTGATTATCCGACTTACTATATTTTTTAACGTAATAACCTGATCCGTTCACAAGATTTCCATTTTGGTTTTTAAAATAATAATAAGAAAATGAGATTAATATCTTTTTTGCAACTTAAAATTATATCGTGCTATTCTAAAACTATATTATTTTAGGTTTGAAAATAAATAAATAAATAATAATTTAATAAAATTCATAATACAAGAAGAAAATAATTTTTTTAAAATATCTCCATTTTTTTTTCAAATCCTAAAACAACATAGTTTTAAGTTATAAAAGATAATTTTACCTTTTATTATAGAAGAAACACTTTTCCATGAGAAATTAATGATTTGTTTTTAGGGAAAAGTGTGTATAATTTTAAAGGATGTCAAATTGTGTCATTTTAAGAGAGAGAAAGAGATAGATAAAGGAGGAGAGAGAGTTGACAAAAAAAAAATAAAGGTGTGGGTCCCACCTCTTTGTGAGAGTGAAATGATGTAAGTTGTGTAATTTTAAATGATAGACACTTTTCCCTTGTTTTTAATGGAAGATATATAAGAAAGTCAAACGGACGAAATCACTTTAAAAAATTCAACCCTTTAAATAAGAGGTCTCCGTCCAACAAAATAAAAAAGAAAAAAAGATCTTCATGAATGAAACTAAGTAATAATAAAATTTAACCCTTTTATTATTACTGGACTATACCACCTGGGTGCTTCTTCTTTTTTTTTTAAAAAAAACAACAACAACAACACGTGGGTGCTTTTAATTATAAAGTTTTACGATAATTATTTTATGGGTTTAGTGATTCCTCAATTATTTTAAATAAAATTCTTTCTTACGATTTTTAAATAGTCGTTTTGAAATTTAAAAAAAAAAATACAAATAAAAATCCCAGATTTTTTTTTTTTTGAAAAAACATTATTCCTTATTTTAATTTGTTTACTAATTCTGCATATGGATATATTGTGGTTGAGTGACCAGAGTGATAACATGGTTGGAGTTGGTAAGGTGATAACAGGTTGACACAGATTACGCCTGCACTGTTGATAAAGGAAATGCATCCTGTCAAAAAATCATAATATAGTCATGTGAGAAAGATCACAATCATATAAAGGTAAATTAACGGTTATGATTTCGTAACTACTTATTTTATTATTATTTTTCTCTCCTCCTTTTTTATCATTGATCTATTTTTGTATGGTTATAATTCCCCACATTACATAGTCATGTGAATTTTCACATTAGAGGATCCAGATCCGTTGATAAATAATTTTTAAAAAAATATATCACTTTCGTCAATCAACCATAAATTATATTGAATTTGGTCGGTTTTACTTTGATTTTTTTTAGATCTTATCCAATATATAATAGATAAACGCATTTGATTAAACCAAAATTATCTAATTTTTGTTATCAAAAAAAAAAAAAATTATCTAATTTTGACAAAGAAAAAAACAAATTTATCAAATACTGTAAGGGGGTAAATTTTGAAGAGAAGCCACGACAGTGCAGCCCCCCCTACATTCTCATTTTACTCCCTGGCAAATTTATGAGGACATCAGGCCCCCACCCTGACTTCCTTTTTCTCTTTTACAAACAACATTTTGCATATAAAAAATCCATATTGTTTTTATAAGTTATATTTATTTCTTAATTTGTATATCATATAATATTAAGCGACGATTCTCAGTAAAACACGAGGGGACTATTATGTCCCTTTAAAATTGCTTAAAAATTATAACTTTACTCCAAAACAAACTCTATAAACAAAATAAAATTTGATTTTATTCTATTCAAAATTTGAGTTTTCCTCTATCTTTCTTGGTTTTTTGAAAATGAGTTTATTGTGTCAAACAAACAAGATCATAATATCATGTCATCAAATTCGTTACATTATACAGTGAGATTAAGTGACATCGTGTCAGCAAGTTTAAGGCCTCGTAATCTCTTTACATTATATAGCGAGATTACGTGGCACAGCCTAATTTGATGCATTATGCAGCGTTTTATCTGGCGCTAGTAATAATTTGACATGTGGATTAAGAGACGAATAAATGCTGATTTATTTTTTGTTTTCTTTTTGAAAATATAATAAACAATAAAGATGATGGAGTGTCCATGGAAAAACGAATTCATGTCTATAAATGCTGATTTGTTTTTTGTTTTCTTTTTGAAAAATATAATACACAATAAAAACGATGGACTGCCCGTGGAAAAATTATAAAGACGATTTAATGTCTAATAAATGCTGATTTATTTTTTGTTTTCTTTTTGGAAAATATAATACACAGTAAATACGATAGAGTGTACATGGAAAAACGATAAAGACGATTTAATGTCTAATAAATATTGATTTGTTTTTTATTTTTATTTTGGAAAATATAATACACAATACAAATGATGAAGTGTTCAGATGGAGTGCCCAAATAAAGTATTTATAGGAAAATGATAAAGACGATTTAATATTCAATAAATGCTGATTTGTTTTTGTTTCCTTTTTGAAAAAAATAATACACAATAAAGACGTTGGAGTGTCAAATGGACTATTCATGGAAAAATGATACAGACGATTAATGTCCAATAAATGCTGATTTTTCTATTGATCTTCTCAATCCACATGTCAAATTGTTACTGGCACCACATAAAATGTTACACAATGCAGTGAATTAAGCCCTGCCACGTAATTTCGCTACACAGTGTAGCGAGATTACGTGGCCTTAAACTTGCTGATATGGTGCCACGTAATCTTGTTGTTTAATGCAGCGAGTTTGGTGTAGCAAATTTTTTTCTAGCGTGACAATCCGATAAGTTTTTGCGTAAAAGGTGACAAAAAGGTCCTTGTCACCTTATATTTACAATAATGGCAAGGAAAAAGTATCCACTTTTTTTTTTCTTTTTCAAAAATCCAAAATTTTAGGGATTTAAATATTTAAAAGCAGAAAAACGTATTTAAGTAATAGTAATAATAATACTAACAAGTTTGTCCACCGTCTCAATTTCATTCAGCTCTTTGGTTCTTCCTCTTCTCAGATTTCCCAACCAAATTCCTCAATCATCGATCTTTCGGTGTTAGGTTTGTCAATTCTTTTGTTTTGAAGTTTAGACAGAGCCATCTCTTTCTTTTTCAGTATGTTTGTTTAGTTCACTGCTTAAGTTTTCTAATGTTTCGCTGTTTGGAATTTGCAGAGACCATGGCCAAAAGCTCCTTCAAGCTTCAACATCCATTAGGTACTCTACTGTCTGTGGGCTTGCATTAGTATTGATTGCAAGTTAAAACCTTTCTGTTGTAATGAAAACCTTTTGATTGCTTGAATTCAACATCAATTGATTTTCGATTGTAGAAAAAAAAAAAGTAAAAGTAAAGCCACTCTTGGGACCTAACAAAAAATATTGTTACCACTTTCGTTCCTTACAAAAAAAAATACTAATAAGGATTAAATTGAGTCTTCATTCAATTTCTCTCAGGATCACAAATTTCAAAGAATTTTGAAAATAGAATTGTAGAGTGACCTATTTTTTTTTTAGGGATGAAGGTGAGGAACATGTTTTTTTTTTTTTTTTTTTTTTTGTTGGGGACCAAAAAGAACTTTACTCAGGAAAAAAAAAATATTGGAAAGATAATTCATCTAAACGAAAATTGAAATGATTAGGATTAATCCTTGGGGATCTCTCAGTGTTTTTACTATGAAATTGAGAAGGATCTTTAGAATAATGAATGTGGTTATTTCGTCTATATACATCTTATTTCTTCCCCTAGGACTAGGATAGTTATTTTCATCTTTTTATGACTAGTGTTTTTTCTCTTGATATCTAATTTAAACTTTGTTGCAATGTTTTCCTTTTAAATTCTTGCCTTTCCTGAATTATACTTTTTGGTGTTCCACATGTCAGCAAGAAGGCAGGCAGAGGCTGCTAGCATTAGAGAGAAGTATCCTGACAGAATACCTGTAAGATTGTTTCTAGTATAGATTTGTTTGGTTTTTTGTATTTCCTTGAAGCGCCCTTGTTGAAATGCGGCAATTGTGTGCAGGTCATTGTTGAGAAAGCTGAAAGAAGTGACATTTCAGACATCGATAAGAAGAAGTGAGTGATTTCATCACATGCCGTTTTACACTATTCAATCCCTTTTTGATTAGTTTTCCGGCCTGAGTATAGTTTTGCTGTCCCAAGGGTATATATTTTTGGCTTGAAGTTGCTCGGTGCTTTCTGTGAAGATTTTGGGGAGTTCTATTTTTTTTGTGTCAGTAATGATGCAATAGTAATTGCAGGTGGTGAAAGTAGAAAAATAGGAAACTGATCAACCATGTAAGTTGATACTGATAGCATGTAGAATGTTGGTATTGATGGATAGTGTCACTAACTATAGCTTCCTACTTTTAAGGATAAAATTTGTATTGTAGGAGACACCAAGCACCATAGCCTAGTTGTGGCATAATATAGAGGTATAGATTCATAAGAATGAATGATATCTGTTATTGGGGGTGTTGGATGGTTGTGGTAAGTGCTACGTTGTTGTCAAGTCTGGGTAGCACTAGATAGCTACATAATTGCAGCTCGTGTCAGATTACACTTCTGTAACACATTCTTTGTATTGGGTTGCAGCTTGTTCTTTCTAGCCTTGTCAGCTGCTTCTTTTAGGTCCCAAGGCCTGTACTTTATGTGTATTTGCAAAGTATTTTCCTTTATTGTTGCTTGTACTTCTACAAGCATAACTTTTTAACTTACATGGTTAAATGCTAATCCCCTGTATGTAGAAGATTATTTTATATTCTACTTCACACCCACTTCATAACTTCTTTTTAATAATTCATTTTCCAAAGATTGATATAACACTGTGAAAGTTAGGCCAAAATGCATCATGTTATGATTCTGTGCATTAGTGGATTCTCACTTGGTTCTCTTTCTTTCGTTGTGATGATGTAGATACCTTGTCCCGGCTGATTTGACTGTTGGTCAATTTGTTTATGTTGTCCGTAAAAGGGTTAAACTCAGTGCAGAGAAGGCTATTTTTGTTTTTGTCAATAACACTCTACCTCCAACTGGTAAATAGCCACTGCTCAAGCTGCAATGTTATTTTTGTAGTTCTGTCTAGACTTATGAACTAAATCTCTTTGTTGTTGCAGCCGCCTTGATGTCTGCTATTTATGAGGAAAATAAGGATGACGATGGCTTTCTTTACATGACTTACAGTGGAGAGAACACCTTCGGATCCCACTAGGCGCGTATTAATGATAAACTCTGTAAATAGCTGCTGCAAGATGCAAATTCTCTGCTGTCCATAGGCAATGCTTACCCTGTTTATTGCTTATGGTTTTGAGGAACATTGTCCTGCACTTTGATTATGTGCATCATCTTTAAATTATGAATTTCAATGCATTAATTTAGATTTTATCATCTCACAGCTGAATTCTTCTTTTTCTTTTCTTTTCAATGGTGGCCTGAATTTTAATCTAGTATTCGTTTGGTTTCAGTAACAACTACTACTTTATGATATATATTTTTGTGAAAAAAGAGAGGAACACCACCGATACTAACATTTGGAATAATCCAGCGACTTGCAGAGATATGTTGTGTGTTTTGACTACATAATTGTCACCAGCTAATTCCGATTCTAGCATTACTGGACAGCATTGTGTTACAAAAGAACACAAACCTGTTCAGATCTACGGGTTGAGTTTTGACACAGTATAATTGCCAATGTCATTGCTCAATGGAACTCTGTAATGTTTAATTTTTTATTTCCGCTACCTGTACTGTAGCCTAGTAGTTAGAGATCTCATCCTTTTCAGAGTTGGCACTTGTTCAACTCATGTCCCTATCAAATGAGTTAGTTCTATGATATGAGGCTTCAAAATGCGATCTATAAGTTTGTTTTTAATCAAAGTTCTTGTTATATCTATGTAATTGTCCTCGCGGTTTGGAAATAATTTAATTTTAAAAATAGTTTGTTTTTCTTTTAATTATCTAAAAATAAAAATGAATTAATTATAACATTCGCTAAAGAGTAATCAATTTTGATTAAATTTTGTGGTTTCAGATACTCACCACAAAACTATTGACTTTTCCTGAGTTTTCAGCATGACCTATTCGTAAAATTTTAAAACTGTTATATATTCATATCAACTAACTATTTATTTTTAAGCCATCATCATCAATCATGCATTATGAGGCGAATCACTGGCCCGCTGTCCTAACAACTAAGGAGTGTCTTTAGCAATCAATGATGCGTGCGGTGTTATGCAAAACAGTGATCCACTAAAATACTATATTTCTGAAGAGTGTCTTCCTCCAGAATCAACTATTTATGACATTCAATCGAGCTTTAACTGAGTAAAACACCTTCAATTCATTAAAATCGGAAGAAAAATACAAAACCAGTATCTACCGTAGTCCTGAACTGAAAGTGCACACAGAATATCCTCTAATTTACTTGGATGTACTCTTTCTCTTGCACAGGCTTCTTATCCATTTAACACAATTTGAGGCAGTTGCTTTGGCTTTGCTGAATCCACCCTTAGTACCCGATTTCTTGTTCTTGCCGTTGTCTTTCTGGGGTATACTGCCATCATCTTCCATGGCACCAATACCACCAGCACCCCACTGATCAGCCCAACTCGGTGCTTCGCTTGCCATGTTCATTGTGCCTTGAGCATAGTAAAAGGAATACTATTATATGTAATTAATTAATTAAACTCAGTTTGGTAACAAACATACAATCTTAAGCTTTTTATATAATCTAGGAATTAAGGTGAAGCCTAATAATACTCTAATAGTGGATTAAAGAGAAACACTTAAAGAAACATGAATAGTACCTTAATTCAACCACGCACTCAACTGGAGTTGGATGCAGAAGATTTGAGAAGGAGCTTGATGAATGAGTTAAAAAGGGACAGAACGAGTACTGAACCGAATTATGGTTATATAGAGGGCTATATAGATAACATTGTTAGATGGCCTGGCCTGGCCTGTCTATCACTCTCTCCCCCTGTTACATTGCTTTTTCTTTTTCTAATTTATCTTTATCTTTTTTCATAATAGGACTTTGACAACTCACCTATTTTGAGTATTTCCATCTGGTTAAGCAAACTATGTGCGGCATCTTTAATTTTAAAAACTCTTAACTTATATCACATAACAGTAGATCGATACTTTGGTCAGCAATGTGAGTTAACTGTCCCACTAAGGCCTTGGTATGGTTGGGAGGCAACTGTCAAAGAGGGACAAAGGTATTTGTCATCCAATAATGTTTGGCTTCAGCTTAACCACTTTTATCCATTATGCATGGATTTGCCCTTGTACCCGTCTCTTGTACTTAGCTCTTAATTATAGAGTCCCATCCATGTAGCACTCAGTTATAATTTGTGGGTAAAAAGAAAAAGAACTTGCACTCATCAAACTCGGAATAATGCATGGGTGGCCTTTTACAATACTATGGAATCTATTTAGTATTTATATATCCATCTTCCGACTATCAGTATCAGCTTCCTTTATTGATAGTCTTCGCTATTAAGTTTCCAACCTACGAAAACTTTTTTGCATAGCCGGAAGTACGCAGCAAATTGAGTGGTAACAGTACCTATTCATGGTTTGTCTTTTGCCCTTTGTTCCGTTTGACTCAAGGAGGTGTAAAAGTCAGTATCAAATCATGGTGGAGGGTAAAATTAATTAGGGTTAGATATGTGGAAACTCCATAATTATATCAATGTGGAGGGAATAATTTATTGGCATAATTGTGGGATTTTTCTAAATGATTCTGGCTAATATGTTGGGATAACCATAAGTGATTATTCATGCAAACCTAACTTAAATTAGTGCATCGGTTTAATTTCCAATGTGGGATAAAATTTAATTAAATTAGTTTAGTTTAATGTGAGATCGTGGGGATCTTCTAGAAGATCTTGGTTGATATGATAAGATAATCGTGAGAGGTTTTTCATAGAAAATTCTAATGGTGTGGGACTGTGAACATCGGACTAATAGAGGGATTTTTCTTGCATGCTATAGGAGTACACAATTCGGTGATTCTTTTTTTAAAATAAGAAAAATTTTATTCCATTTGAATTCATATACTTTTTTCTATTTATCTTTAAGTCCTAATTTTTTATCCCTTTTCAAAGGGGATGTTGGTACTATGTAGTACCGAAAAAGCTCTCCTAAAAGAGAGGTCCATAATCATGGTATGAAGCATTACTGTTAGGGAGAGGATCCGTTTATAAATTTTTTTTGCAATTACACTAATGTAGGACCGGTCTTACATAGTGTAGTTTATAAGAGTTTGTAAACAAAAAGTTTGTAAATATAACCTGTCTCTTACCTTTATTTTGGGTATTCATGAGTTGATTTGATTTTAATTTTGGATAAAATATTCAAAAGATAAAATTAATTAAATTAGTTTAGTTTAATTTTATAAAATTTTACAACTAACCCGAATTAAACAATATGATTGGTTTCATTCGGTTTAGGTGATCCGACTAAAATAAAAATAAAAATTATTATATTATTTATTCAAAATTTTGAATTTTTTGTCATTATAAGATGAAATATTAGTTTCTTGTTCTTCCATGATTTGATACAGTAATCTAATCAATTCTAAATGTTGTTAGTATATTTTACTAACATTTAACTCTTCTTATAATTATGCTTCTAAATCTATTTACCCAAAATGTATTTGAGCAATTCAGCTTGAGATGTGATGATAAAGAACAAGAATAAGTAACATCCAAAAAAAAAAAAAAAAGAACAAAAATAAGCACATGCATGAATAGAAATGTGATGATAAAGTTAAATTATAAATGTAATCAAAGGTATTTATTAATAGTTTGCACAAAGAGTGTTGGAACAAATGAGAAATAAGTATTAGAAGAAGAAATAAGTCTGTTTGATTGTGTTTTGATTTTTTTTTTGCTCTTAAAATTGTTTTGTATAATAATTATGAAAACATGTGTTTTCTGTATTTTTTTATTTTGAAAGTTAAAAGTCAAAATACAAAACAAAAATAACTTAGATATATTCTTTGAATTGATTCTAAAAATAAAAACAATTACATTTTCTACAAAACAGGCTTTATCAAATGAGATTTTTGTTTATTTATTCTAAAAAAAAAAAAAAAACTATTTTTAGAAACAATATTCAAATAGGGTCCTGATTACCAAAGTCTAAAACGGGCAATTTCAAAATATTAAAATTTACTTTTAAAAAGAGTGGATTGGGTTAAAGATTTGGATCTTGAGTTGATAATTCATGAATTTAAATCCGAATTAATGGTATTTGGTTTAGATTAAATTTAACACAAAATGAACTAATTATGTAAAGTAATTAGAACTAATTTAATTAGTTCAATTTGGATTATCAAGATTATATTGTCAATCCATCTTAATCATCTTGTATTATATGTTTTTGTGTTGTGTGTGTAAAAAATGTAAACTTGTGTAAACGAAAACCATTAAAAAAAATATGATTGTTCTTAATTATCTGAGAGAATAATGACACCCCGTTATGTATGCGGGCATCGAGTCCTTTTAATTAATTGGGTCCAAAGATTTGCTTGAATGCTACAATCAGAAAAGTTTAAAAAGAAAAAGGAAGGCTTGTCCAAAGTGAGTGGAAAAAGAATAAAGATTACATGGAAATGTCTTTTGTATTAAGGAGGCTGAATTATGGCGAGATAAAGTAAAGTTCAGTGGAACCAAATTCAAATAAATAACCTAAGTAGAATAGTAAATCTAGTAATCTACAACATAGGCGCTATTTGCAGTCAAATGGAAGATGGACAAAAACGGTTGTCTTTTATTCTCCATGGGATGATCAGCTTCTGTTATAAATGGAATTTGTTGAATGTATTGTGCTTTCACAGAAAAGTTGCAGAGTATTTTTGAATTCAAAACTTCACATATGTATAGTTAAGGGCCATGTTGGGCTTAAAACTTTGTGCAGGCAATGCCACTTTGACAAAGTGTATGCCTTTTGCTTCTTTTGCCCATTTTGCTCGTTGGGGAGCCACATTTTGATTTTGACCCTTCAATGCACTTCCCTTCATAATGATATGAAAAATAGCATAGGATAACTATTAAGAAAAATCCAATATGCAAAAATGTTGATTGTATCTAGATTTATGTATAAATATTTTGATGTGATAATCCCTAAAACATATAATAATTCAAAAAGATACGTGAGTTTTGTATCTATAATATGTTAATGCGGGAGATATTTTATTTGCTTGAGGGCATAATTAAAACTTCCAATTCACACATTCAACCATGAAGTGCAATGGCATTGCTCACTTCGGTCCAAACCTTTTAACAACCCTTTGTAATCATGGTATGAATTGATAAATCTAACTCCTTGATTGCACTTTGCCTATATTTGGAAGGAAGATCCAAATTCGCGAGTTAATAAGAGAATAGATTTATTCATGATAAATGAGGTTACTTGTAGTTGGGTGGATCTTGCATCCATGTGATGATGTTAATTCATTCATAATAGAGCAATTCAATGAGGGTATTAATGAAGCATTTAAAGCTGATGGAGATCATTTGCGAGAGATTACTTTGGATTGCTTCCTCTATATAGAGAGATTAATTTTCCAATTGGGATTTAGATGACATAATTAGTTAATTAATGGTGAAAATTTATGTCCATTGCTGATTGATATTGTATTAATTTTCTTCTTGTGTATAAATAAGCGATGATAAAAATTGAAAGAAAGGGGAAATCCGGAAGGGTGAAACATTAAGAGAGCATATAAGGAGTATTTGAGTTTCGATATAAATCCGTGGTTTATATTTGTAATTCTAAAATTTCTCTTGTATTAGATTTGGATTTTTCCTGTGGACGTAATCGGATGTTGGGTGAATCACGCAAATTGACACTAGTGATTTTTTATCCATCATAATCGTTTATACAGAAATAATCAAGTGATTTTTTGCAAGTAGGAATAAATCTTTTGATATTAAGTTTATAATGTTTGGAATAGATTCATTCCCAACAACTCGTGGTTTTTATTCGAAAGGCTAAAAATTTGAGCTTACAATTCAAGGTGAAGCGGTTTGATGACAACATAAGTAAATATCATGAACAAACACCAATTATTGAGAAAAGTGGGAGAATGTTATCATTATAAAGTAAGAACACAAGATGGAATGGACGGTGGAGATTTTTTCACCATCCCCAAAGGCAAATGCACTTCTCTTGAGTGGTTGTATTGCGAGAATATACAAAGTGTATTCCAGTGTGGACTACGCTCGATTTCCTTTTATATTTGTCATTTCTGTGATATTTTTTACGGAATAAATAACCAAGTAATTTCCTACTAACAAGAATAAATGCTGTGATATTAATTTTAAATATTGAGAAGAGACTTATTCTAAGTTGTCTACACAAACCAATTCACATAAAAGAAAGTACATAGAAGCTGATATGAGGAAGAAATAATGGGGATAAAACTTTAGTTTGGATTATGATATTGATGGGCAAAGAGGAGCAGATGGATGGTTCCCTTCGGTGCTCCAATAATGATAAAAAAAAAAATGAAGGAATCTGATAAGAGAAGAAAAGATATCTATATGAAGGGATTCCCACAACCAACTTCACACATTTAACTGGTAAAGAATGACCAGTCATTTGGGAGAATCTGGACTTGGGGTAATAGCTGGGTTCCTAAAAAGTTTTCTTTCCAGACTTGAAATAATAAATGGATTCTAGTACAGTACGCTACCCTCGAGCTGGAGCCTCGCTTTCAGCGAAGAATGTGTGGGCTGGGCTCTAGGAGTTGAGGCAGTTATGCGCTTGAGCTGTGCTACAGTGCTAGCATAACTCTAAAATCACAGCTTACCATGTACACCTTTTACAATTCATGAGAGCCCCAATGATTCCCGATGCCTTCCCTAAAATGCATGTCTACGTTATTTAAAAGGGTTAGATACCCAACTCTCAATGTTTTCATAACCTCATCTTGGATATCAAATTTTAGGCTAAATACCAATTTTAGAACACATGCATTATTTTGATTCTCGAAATAAATGTGATAAATTATAAAAGTTGACATTATATTTGTATAAAGATCATGAGAACACGATTAATGTCACAATTTATGACTGAAATACTTAATTGATGTAATTTTCTAATAATTGACATACTTAAATAATGATAACTTTTTTTTGCAAAAAAAATAAATCATTGTCAATTTTTATAAAAAAAAATTTTTGAATAATGCAGAATCAGAATATCAGTGTGTAAAGTTCATTAGTTGTAATTAAATAATCAAAACCATACATATGTGAAGTGATATGTGTGTAAGTGTATTTGAATAAATTTTTTTTTATGACTAAAGAAATCAATTTGGGCCAATTTTATGTAAAAAATCTATATTCTTATATTAATGAAATAATAGAAGTAATTAAAAAAAGTACATAATCACTTGAGGGTAGAAATGCTTGTTATAGGCAGGATAAACTCTTCCTATTTAAAAAGCTTCAACTGCGACCACTGAATTAAACTGTAGAGTAAACTAAAATTGCTACACTAAAGGACTTGAAGATCATTTGGACAAATCTAGAACAATAAGTAGTGTGGCAATAATCGTAGGTGTAAGTTGTAACTTGGCCACAAGCTAAACGTTAGACCTTTCCTCATGCAGGAAATGCAGAATTGACAAATAAAAAGAAAAGAATCTATATATAATTAAGACGGATAAAACAAAACTGTAAGCAAAGAAATGTAGCTTTAGCTTCTAATTACCCTTTCTGTGATTCCATTAGGCATTTGCCGGCAAACTACGCTCTATGAACACTATTTCCCCGACGCCCAAAGCTGGTTAACAAATTAGACGGGATATCTACATTGTGGACGCAACTTGGCGTTAAAAACACCCTCATTAACAAATTAAGACACCATCCCTTTCTTATCCAATACTTCCCAGTTCGTTTAATTTACTTGGACTTTCTAACGGACTTGGATTTCTTCATTTTGCTTGATTTGTCATCCACACTGGTCCATGTATATCCAGCAGGAATGGCAAACGGGTCTGAATCCAATTGCATTGAAGAACATCGTTGTTGCTGCTTATTCCCCGCACCCGACATGCTATTATTTCGTCTGAGCCACGTGGATGCTACAGACGATGATGAGGAGCGGCTTTCTGGTTTGTGCTGCTGCTCATATTCTCTGCCTGCGCCTGCACCACTGAGCAAATGCCTTGGACTCGAGAATGGAGTGTAGAATTCCTCCACGGGTTGCAGCTCCACGAACTTTGTGAAAGTAATCACCACCCTCACTGTAGGGACCACCGGTATAGCCACCTGTCCCCACCAACAACACAATTATTTGGACCACCATTTAACCAATCAAATCAAATAGATTATGCCGCATGTGAAAGTTATAATCTCAATAATCTTTGCTGAATGTAGCGTTAGCGGTGAACAATCAATGGTCAACCACTCGACGTTGACATGACTGTCGAGTGTCGACGTACATACCACAACATGCCAAACGGAAAAAAAACAACATAAACCACTCCATGTTATGCCACGTCATCCTTGCGTGGGACCAGTGAAGGTTGATTCATTTAAACACGCATAACCGACCATATGGGTCCTACACCAAAGGATTCTCAGCTCTTCTTAATTCTAAGTCAGGCCGTTGCTTGAGAGAGTTGAGACCATTAAAAAGCCCCCAAAATAATAATAATAATAATAACAAAAAAGCCAAAACAGAATCTGATTTTTAATTAATTTAATGAGTTAAATAAATATTAATCTCTATAATACCCTTACCTTGACCGGGAAAGTTCCCGGCGGGAACTTGGTGGTGAGCAACTCTCTGAGCCTCCTGACTGCTTTGACCTTGTTGGCCAGTATGTCCAGTAACGGAAGAAGCTCCTCCGTCTTCAACGGAAACTGCTCCGTCAGCCACACCGAAGGCCGCAAACTTCTCACGTACTCCTTCTCCTTCGTATGCGGCATGCTCACGCTTCTCGGAGGTGGGGCCGCCACAGACGTTTTTAGGTCCACGCTTTTCCTTCCCATTGGGACCCACTCCCTCTCTTCTCGAACGAAGCTACTGTGTCTTCTCTTTTCTCCCATTGGAAACCCGAAACTCGGATTCTCTGCAACGAGAAAACCGTCTTCGTCTTCGTCCAGTTCCAAAGGGAGTACTTGCTCGCTCCCTGCCACGTCATTCTCCGCACCGGCAACTTTACGTGACCGGAAACTGAAGACCACGTTCTGCATTTCGTAGACCTTGGCTTTCCACTCTCCTACGTTCTCCGTCTTCTCCTGTCTTCTCCAATTCGTTCTGCTTACTAGCTCAGCCTTCGTTACATCCATGCCGGGACGGTACACGCTCGTCTGAGAGCAGAATCCGGCGACGTCAGACTCGCTCATAGGTCCTCCTGCGTTCTCGAAGGCATCGAAGATTTTGCGGTCTTCGCGGTTCAGAACGAGCAAGGAACCGGAGGGGATATCACGTGCCTGATCGCCGTCGCCGAGGAAGAGGAAGCTCTGATCGGCGCGCTGGATCTTCAAGCCGTCGAAGCCCGCAAGCGAAGTGTCAGCGCGGAGATTGCCGTCTCGCTTCCAGATTTTGTAGGTGTCGGAGGGGGCGATCTTGCCGACGAAGGGAATGACGGAGCTCTCGAAGTGAAAGGAGATCTCCATGTAGAAATCTTTCATGCGATGGAGGACAGCGATGACGCGGGGGAGACGGCGGCGCCACTTGGACCAGGCGTTGCGGTGATGGAGGCGGAGGAGGACGAGAGCAATGTCGGAGGCGCGGCGGCAGAGTGATTCCTGCAAGGCGTTCCAGCCAGCGGAATTCTGGAGGGAAACGTCGGCGCCTGCGGTGGCGAGGGCGCGAGCGGCGAATAGGTCATTGAGACGGACGGCGAGGTGGAGAGGCGTTTCTCTGAAAGGGACGTCACGGCGGTCGAGGACGGCGGAGATCTGATCGGCGAGTCGTTCTTGAGCGAGGGAATGGGCCTCGGTTTGGATTTGAGAAGGGTCAGGGAGACGAGGGAGAGAAGAGATGATTCTGGAGAGGGTGGTGTGGTCCCCCAATACGACGGCGTAATGGACAGGGCTGTGAGAATAATGCTCTGGTTTGATCGTCTGAGCCTGAGGAGTGTTGATAGACTTGGCCATGGCTAACGTAACGTAACACCTACTCAGCTACTATGACTTTTTTAGAGCTTTTACTTGTTGAGAGTCATAATCATAGACCTAGTCATGGAAGGGATGAATGAATGATAGCCTGAGGGGTATTTTGGTCTATGAATGAATGGAATTGAAGAGACGAATCATAGAGAAAGAGGGGAGGGTGCGTGGCACGGCTTTTTGTAAAATAAAAATGGTTCTGCTCAAAAGTGTCAAGGGCAGTGCTTCTGCTGGGGAATGAGGTAGCAAAGCTCCAATTTGAGTTGAGGCATGTCACTTTGTTACTTCACTTTATTCCAGGGTCTTTTTTGTCATCTCATTTCCTTCTGGGTTTTCTAACCTCCTCTGCTTCTGTTACTTTGATCGTATTAACTCTTAAAGTACAGTTTCCATTCCCGTATTTCTTTTTTAAATGTTATTCCTTTTTATTTATATTAATTAGTATTTATTATAGGAACAGGAATAAATGATATGACGTGCGTAAGCAAACGAGAATGGAATTGATTGGCTCCTTGACATACTCTTATTTTCAACTCTAGAGATCATGTTGTCATTTATTTTATAGTAAAGTATTTTTTTTGGATCTCAATAAAAAAAATTGATTTGTGATTTTTTTAAAATTTAAAATTTATTCAGTTAATTGAAATTATGGTTTCTCTAAAATTTAAATAAGATCTATGTTAGTTTCTCTAAATAATTAATATTGGTCTATTTTAAATTTCAGAGATACCACGAATTAATTTTTTTCTAAGAGATTAAGTTAGATACCGTGATATTTATTGAGGATGCAAAATGTACTTTACTTGTTATTTTATATTAGTGTATAGATTTTATTCTGTTAATTAATTATATGAGTTAATCAGCTTAGTTAGTTAACTACATTGGTTAGTTAGTTAGTTTATTTCAGTTATTACAGTTGTTTTTCAGTTTTCTGTTATTCTACTGGTGCTGATATATATATCAGTAGAGTTGTAAATAAACTCACTTGATTCATTTTCTTCAATAATGAAATCTCTCTTTTACGTTTCTCTTTTCTTCTTTGTAAAATGGTATCAGAGCTCATCTTGAGTTCTGGTATTCATTGCTTTCTTTTCTTGCAATCGATCTTTCCTTCCTTTCTTTCTTATCACTGACTTTGGAAGAATTTCAACATGGAAGCTACAAACCAGAACTCACGTCCCTTACCATAATTCTTGACAAATCCGTCAAGTCCTTATTACCTACACCCAAATGAGAATCCTTCGTTGATTATTGTTTCGCTTGTTCTTGATGGGAAGAACTATCATTCCTATTTTAGAGCCATGAAAATGGCGTTGAAATCGAAGAATAAACTGGGTTTTGTTTATGGTTCCATCACTGCTCCGCAAGAAACTAATCCTTTGTTTTATGCTTGGGATCATTGCAATACTACGGTGTTGTCTTGGTTACACCACTCCATTGCAGACTCGATAGTTCAGTCTATTGTATGTGTTGATCTGGCGTCAGAAGTATGGAAGGATCTTGGTGAAAGATTTTCCCAATCTGACGTATTCCGTATTGCAGACCTTCAAGAAGATTTATTTCGTATGTGCCAAGGTGAGTGCACTATTTCTCAATACTTCACGAAGCTGAAAACACTATGGGATGAGTTAGACAATTTGCAACCATTACCTAAATGTAATTGTAATCCCACCTGTGTTTGTGGTAATCTGATGCAAGCTCAAGCTCGTGTATGTAGAGAAAAGGATCATGTGATTCGGTTCTTGAGGGGTCTTAATGAGCAGTTTTCACATGTGAGATCTCAAATAATGCTCGTGGATCCCTTACCAAATATAAATCGAGCTTTTTCTTTAGTTGCCCAACAAGAAAGGCAGTTAACTACTGGTGCTAATCTTGATGTAAAGGCATTTCTAAATGCTCATGAGCAGAACTTCACTCGAGGCACTACTGCTCCTACAAATAATCAAGAACAAAATTTCAACCGTGGATATATATCTCAGAGAGGTAGAGGCAGAATGAATTTTGGCAGAGGAAGAACAAACACATCAAGACTATGTACCCATTGTGAAAGGTCCAACCATACAGTGAAAACTTGTTTTGAGAAACATGGTTATCCACCTGGTTTCAAAACCAGATTTCCAAGAAAGGCTAATATGGCTGCTCATTATGATACTGATCCATTCAGTTTTGAACCAGAGAAAGAATCTGCATAATTTGATGCTAGCCAATTTCAAGTCACTAAGGAACAATATCAAAGTCTTCTTGGTTTATTACAGAATCCAAAACAAGAAGACACACACAAGTCCAATTTGGTTCAGGTTAATACAACTTCCTTGACTCCAGGTAATTCCCATCCACAATGGATTCTTGACACTGGTGCAACTGACCATATAGGTCACCAGAATTTCCTTTTCTCTTCCCTTCGAAATGTTAGACCTGTTTCTGTTACATTACCAGATGGTAATCAGGTATTAGCCACTCAAACTGGCAATGTTTACATTTCTCCTAATCTCACACTGCACAATGTTCTCTTTGTTCCTAATTTTCATGTAAACCTTATATCAGTTGCCAAACTAATACATGATTCAGATTGTCATGTGATTTTTCACTCACAAATTTGTTCTATCTTGCAGAACAATACCTTGAAGATGATTGGTACAGCTAAATTGGATAGAGGCCTCTACATTCTCAACTTCATTGTCAATTCAAATAGATATTGCTGCAATGCTACTGATTCTGGCTCATCCAAGTTATGGCATCTTCGACTTGGTCACTGTTCCAATTCTGTTTTGTATAAAATGTCCACAGTTTTTCCTTTCATTCCTTGTAAAGTTGATTCTGAACCTTGTGACATATGTCACTATTCTAAACAAAAGAAGTTACCTTTTCATTCTAGCATCTCAGTATCTTCACATCCCTTTAATTTGATACATGCTGATATATGGGGTCCATATGCAACTCAATCAATTCATGGACATCGCTACTTCTTAACATTGGTAGATGATTATTCTCGTTTCACTTGGGTAATACCAATGAAAGCTAAGTCAGAAACCAGACAACATCTACAAAATTTTGTGTCTCTTGTTCAAACACAGTTCCATATCACTATTAAAACCTTTAGAACAGATAATGGTTTCGAATTTGCTATGTCTGATTATTTTAAAACTAAAGGAATTCAACACCAAACCTCTTGTGTAGAGTGTCCCCAACAAAATGAGATAGTTGAACGCAAACATCAACATATATTGAATGTTGCTAGATCCCTATTCTTTCAATCTAAAATTCCTAAGTCATATTGGACCTTTTGCATACTACATGTTGTACATATAATAAACAGACTCACACCTTCATCCCTACACCATAAAACTCCTTATGAACTGTTATATAACACACTTCCTTCTTTTGATCATTTGAAAGCTTTTGGTTCATTGTGCTTCATCTCTACCCTTTCACAACATCGAACAAAATTTGACAATCGAGCTAGGAAATGTGTTTTTATTGGTTATAAAGAGGTTACTAAAGGATACATTGTCCTTGACTTACATACTAATGAAATTCTTACTTCCAGAAACATTGTTTTCTATGAAAGTCACTTTCCATTTGCTCAAACCACTCATCATTCTAATCCTATGGTTTCTATGTTGCCCTCATCTACCACAGATCTTAGCTGTGATTTTGTTTTGCCCACAGTAACCCCAACAAGTCCACCTCCTACTGATTTAGTTCCTTCAAATACAAATGTTCCAATTGCAAACCAGAACCAGAACCTTCGCAGATCTACCAGAACCAGAACCGCACCCCAGTATCTAGAAGAATTCCTTTGCAGTTTATCCAATTTAGCTGACACCAAACCATCTTCAGGTATGATATCCTTCCCTTCTTATCCTTTATCTGATTTCTTATCTTACAGCAAGTGCTCCAAACCTTACACTGCCTTCTGTAATAACCTTTTGATTGACACTGAACCAAAGAACTATAAGCTAGCTGCTACTGTTCCATGTTGGCAAAAGGCAATGGAGGCTGAGTTACAAGCCTTGGACAGAAACCATACATGGGAGCTGGTCGAATTACCTTTGAACAAACAGCCCATAGGTTGCAATTGGGTATATAAAATTAAAAGGAAACCAGATGGATCTGTTGACCGTTATAAAGCGCGCCTAGTTGCAAAAGGTTACACCCAATGTGAGGGTGTTGATTATTTTCAAACCTTTTCCCCTGTAGCTAAAATGACCACTGTTCGGTTGCTACTTGCTTTGGCTGTTGCTAGGAATTGGCATTTAGAACAACTTGATGTTGATAATGCTTTCCTTCATGGTGAACTACATGAAGAAGTCTTTATGAAGCTGCCTCCTGGTCTCTCTTGCAGTTCACCTAACATGATTTATCAACTCAAGAAATCCCTTTATGGTTTGAAACAAGCAAGTAGGCAATGGAATGCCAAGCTTACTACTGCTCTTCAAAGTCTTGGTTATTCTTAATCAATGGCTGATTACTCCTTATTCACAAAGAAGACTGCCACTTCATTTACAGCTTTGCTGGTATATGTTGATGATCTTGTACTTACTGGTGATAGCATGGAAGAGATTATTCATGTTAAATCTTCTCTGCATAGTCAATTTCGCATCAAAGACCTGGGCCAATTGTGATTTTTCCTTGGCTTAGAGGTCACTCGTTCCAAACATGGTCTCATATTAAATCAACGCAAGTATACCCTGGACTTGCTTTCTGATTCAGGTACTCTTGTTGCTAAACTCGTTTCCACTCCCCTCACTCCAGCTCACAAGCTTAGTCGTGCTAAGGGTGATCCTTATTTGGATCCGGAAGGCTATCGCAGGTTAGTAGGCAGGTTATTGTACCTTACTACTACTCGACCTGATATCACACATTCGGTTCAGCAACTTACCCAATTTATGGCTTCACCTACACAAGCTCATTATACAGCTGCTTGTCATGTCTTGCGTTATCTCAAGACTTCTCCTAGCAAAGGTTTGTTCTTCCCTGCAGATAAC